TCTAGAATTTTTTTTTTCAATGCAGATGTTTGCTTTTGGACTTTTAACGTTTTTTTGTCATTTATTTTCCCTTTGCCATTCTCTGTCCATCTAACTCCCCCACACAATCCTCTCCTCAGTCCTCCTGCTCTCCTCGCCTGGATTCCCAGGGTGCTCACAGCTGACACCGTTTGTCACATTCAAGGCCGGGTTATGCGCACCGGAGTGTGCGTATCCTCCAAAGTGCTTGTGTGTATTTACAGGGGCCGGGTGGAACTCTAAAAATAAATGCTGTGCCAGGACATGGATGCATCCATGTAGATGTGTGTGGGCCTGAGCCTGAAACACTGCCATCTAGGAGTTGAATTTCACACCTTGTGCCTCCGCTATTGTCAGGCAGAGGTACCGGTGATGGACGGCACAGGGAGAACGGGGGTGGGCAACTCCTGCCAGATGAAAGAGGTGCTGACAGAGGGAGGGAGAAAGTGTTCATACAGTATAAGAGGATGAACGTCAAAGGGTGGGGAGGCAGAAGAACAGTAGGGGCTATCACAAAAAGTGTAATCGAGCTATTTTTTACGATTGAGATTAATCTTTCCTCCGTATTGCTGGTGAGGGGTTTTCTATATAACATATTTGGTTGGGAGAATCAAATATTCATCACTATATGTCCTGTTCTATTACTCGAAAGAAATAGCTCTTCACGCAAGCAGTGGAATAAGCGAGAAAACATTTCAATATCCATTTGAATGTACACACATGGAGTTTATCTCCGCGGCGGTGATGGAGGGAGCCGACATAAATCCCCCAGCATGCTTCTCCAGGGCCGTAAAACGTCTCTCCCCGCCACCTAAACACACCTCGGCGGTTTGTGCATTCACGCTCCAACGCTTACCCCCGCCCCCTCTGTCTCTTACGGTCATTAGCAGCATGCTAATCAAGGCTAATTACATCGAGACAGGCAGACACAACTCATCCCTTATCGTGACGGAGTGCCGCTGTGCCTGGAAATGTTGTGCCACTAAACAAGGCAGTGCTCATAATCAACAGTTTTGTTGTCGCTGTGAGGTAAATGGATGTGTTCTCTATTTGTTTTTCGTTGCAACTGTTGTCAAATGTCAATCGGTCTGTCTGGGCTTTTTCTCAGAGGATGTTAATTTTTGTGTCTACATGCCAGAGCTTTGACTATTCTAAAGTCGAAGAAAAACAGTCAAATCAATTAAGAAACTGTGTTAAATATTATGTCAGAGATTTTAACAGCTGGTAATGATCATATACAATGATTTTAGGTCAATAGCAGAAGTAGAGAACAATTTAATGAGGATGTAAAGGAAGGAAATGTGGAAAAGAAGATGTATGTAAGCACCAAGATGTATAAAAAGGATGAAAATAATGAGGTTTTCTAGGAAGTCTCTTCCACCTCAGCGATGAATTGGAAGCGTCAGGCAGTTCAGTCCCCCCCCCCCCCGCCTCCCCCTCCCTCTTCAAGTTACAAAAGCTCATTTTGGAGATTTTGCTGGCACGGCAGAAAAGATCTCTGTTTCCCATTTTCCATATTTCATATACGGCCCATTGGCGAGCATCGTCTACGGGTGTCATGGCTTGGCACATTTACGAGAGATGCATTGAAGAACTTATCACTCGGAAGATATGCTTAAGTTCAGCATTTTGAAAGTCACTCTGCACTCTATAGTGATGCACTTATAGAGCAGAGGTACATTATGATCACTCTACATGGTGACGCCATCTGTCACTACGCGAACAGCCAAACATTTGAGTTGCAGGTCACACTCAAACAATAATAACACATTGGGTTTACATAGTTGTAGGTTCATAAAATGACTACAAAAAGGTAGATGATTGATCTAAAGACAATATAACAAAAATTAGGGGAAGGCAAAAAAAGCCAACAAAAGCAATCCAATGGTAATAACACAGCACACTGCAGTAAGATGCAATGAGACATGAATAGACTTTATTAACAGCAGATATTTGACCTTTCATAGTAAGAAAGGCACAGGTGTTACAGATAACATAAGGGATGGTTCTGTTCTTTTCTAGAGTCCCGATAAGCCATGATGGAGAAAAACAACAGGGTCCTGTAACTGAATCTGCTAACTCGAATTACGCAACAGTTATTTCAACTTTTTTCTACAATTGTATTGCATTGAAATTACTTACAACATTATGTTCCAAACTGTTGTATTGCTACTAATACTAACTTCATACTTTTTCTACAATTTGGTAATATAACATGCTGCCAAACTCTATGTCCTTTAAAACTAGATAAGATGCTAGAATTGACAACCAACCTTTTGGGGATGTATGAAAAACATTGTGTTGAATATGAACATTTGAAACTGAGCAAAAGATAGACTTTTGTGATAATTAGTCATAGGTGTCAGGATCATAGACTGTATATATAAAGGTCAGGATATAAGATGTGGCTTTGTTGTAGCTGCTAGGGCGGGACAAATAGCGCTTCTCATTGGTTCACTGAGACAAGTGTGCAATCAGCCTTATCAAAGTGCAATTGTAAGTGACGCCATTGGCCCAATTTTTTGAAAATAAATGATAATTTGACCCACTGACCTACCACGGATCATCATATCATTCCCAACAGAGCTTCTAACACCTTGTTGTCTATCATTATTAAAACAATTGGAAACCCCTGTGCTGATGGGCCAATGTTCCTCAACTGGGTAAAGAATGACGGAAGTCCTCTCTGCGCGTTTCTTCTACATAAGTACTTATTTAGTTTAAACGTAGTTTTTACAATAGATGCATACTTATTAACCCTTATATCTGCACTGTCCCTTTTGCTGTAATAATGTCAATTTCCCCAGTGTTGGACGAATAAAGGATATATCATTCAAGTACTTCATACTTAAAAATATTCACGTTATTACTGTAAATTAGATTAAATGTATGTATGACACACTTCAGATGCAATAGTCTTCTTTGTGTTAAAATATGTTATTTAACAGTAGACTCTTGCACACATCCAAAATGAGCTGATAGCATTATTTATAAATTGAGGTCTGTAGGTGAACCAAACTAGTCGTTTAGAAGCACACACACATCAGGAACTGTGCTCTGCGGGTGGATCAGTGTGTGACAGCTCAACCTCAAACAGCTGGCCCTGCTCGACCCCTGTATCGACATGTTGGAGTGTCCTTGTGGAAGACACTAATCTGCGCTGAATGGACTGCCAGGTCCAGCGGTGCTGCGCTGACTGTGACCTCCCGACAAAGAAACTAAGCAGAGAGAGACTTTCCTCGAGTGGGTGTCACATCATTCTCCCGGCGATTGTCTTAAGTAAGTGTGCGACTTCGTCCTCGCAGCTAGCCGCTAACCCAATGGGCTCTAAAGCTAAAGTACTATAAGCAACTTATCAGGAGGCTTCCGGCGTGCGGGCATTAAAGCTGAGCAACATGCTGAGTCAACGCTTCTCCAAGAACGGACGAAAAAGTGCCACTTTCATTCCCATGGTGATAAGGGGAGAGCGAAAAGGCGGGGAATCAGACCGGTGTAATGCTGATGGACGTAGTCAGTGTCTTTAGTGTGAGGCGGGGGTTGGCGGGTGGAAATACTGTATCAGCAGTGGTGGGTTTAAGTGGATGAATGGTGGCGATATGGGGGGGGGGGATTGTAGGGTGGTGGGTTTCAAAGCAAGTGGCTGAGACATGGCTAATGCTGCCAGTGAGCTGTGGCCACCTAAGTAATTACTACCTAGGCTGGAAGGCTAATCCCCAGAGCAGAGCAGCACACTCAGGAGGGAGAAGCTTAGAGCCTCTGAGGGGCTCCGGCACCCGAGTGCATTTACACAGAGACGGACCTGTCCCACTCAGAGAGGTTGCATTTACTCAAAAGAGCAATATTCTGATCCCCGAAAAAATAAACAAAAGAAAAGCGTATTCAATCAAAACAGGGATTCAATGTCAGTATTTGTTTTTTTGGGAACCACTGACAATAGAAATTAAACGTGTTGCTGAAATATTATTTAGAGGATAGTCCCATTATTGAAATAAGAGAACCATTTGTTATTTTCATTTCGTTTAATCGTTTATTTGAATAGGGACAAAGCACATTAATGAACACTTTAGACAAATAATGCTTCAAGTGTAAATATGCCGGATTTGAGCTTTGAGCTAATTTCCATCCGTAGTCCCCGACATACAACATATAAGAATCAACATTATCGGTCTTCCCTCCTGATTCAAACCTTTGAACACATGTTTTATTCCCTAGTCAAGCTTCCATGTTTTATATGGTGTCTATTTTTGGTCTACAGGCAAAAATAAATTGCCCAAATAGCTGTTTGAGATAGTATAAATAAATAATATGAATAATAAATTAAATATAATAAAATATATGTAATAAATGTTCACGGTTAGAGTAGCAATCCCCATCCCTTTTCATCTCTCCATATTTGCAGTCTCCCGTCAACAAGGCAATTATTTATTCAGAAGTGATTGTAAACATATTACTAGATCAGGTTTAAATAACAGAAAAAAAGGCTTAATCTATATCTATGTTTCTCTTCAATTATTTACGAGAATATTGTCATTCAAACAAAACAAATTATGAAATAAACTAAATGAATACTAATATATCATTATTTATATATAAATAAGACACACTTTTGATGCAAATCAAAACGTCTTCAACCTGCAGTCAATGAAGTGATCTACATGCAAACCACCACAACAAAGAAAATAAATCATTAGAGTCCATCTATAAATGTTATACAGGTTCACTGACCAGAAAGAAATGTAAAGAATGAAAAGCTTTTACAATATAAGGCATCCTCAAAGTGACAGTATTAGGAGCAGATTTCCGAGCGGTGTGTGTGTGCTGATAATGCTAACAACCTCCAACTTCACACACAAGTCAAACAAATGATTTAAAAGCAGCAAGTGTGCTTCTCTCTTCACTTTCCAGCTACGAAACATCACAAAGTGCACACAAAGTCAGCTCGGCATCACTCTCTGTGAATACATGTCTGAAGTGAGGTTTACCTTTGCGCTCGGAGCGTTTCTTGCGCCTCCTCTTGAACCTGCGTCGGATCAGGCAGTAATAGGAGCCCAGATTCTGCGCTCCGTTGGTAAGAAGGGCCATGCCTCGGTCAGCACTTACACTGTATATAAACTCAACTGAAAACCAGCACTAGACTTAATCTGGAGGAAATACAACTACAGCTGCTGAGCTCGACCTGTCCACTTGATATTCACAAGTCCACACACCTGCATCGCTTCTTTGTTTCTACTTTAGCCCTTCCCCTGTATCCCAACTCTTTCCCTCCCTCCCCCCTTTACTCCTCCTCTCGCTGTTTCTCTCCTCTGTTGACTCCATGTCTGCCCTATCAGTAGTCAGGGAGAGGGAGTCGATGGGAAAAGGAAGGAGGGGACTGGCAGAGGATCGAGACTCCTGTTTCTCTGTGTTAATTTGCAACGGTTGTGAATTAACACAGAGATAAACTCAATCCTCTCTCGAAATCAATGACGTCTCCAACAAGCATACAAAAATGCTCACATACTCCCTAGAGAAAACACACCTGTGTACACCATCTCTAATATGCTCACACACATTCATACAAACTATATTACATGTCATCTGAACCCTAACGCTTTTATCCAAAAGTGGCTTACGTACACTTCTATACATAGAGGAGCAATGATGTGAAGTATCTTGCCCACTGACACATCAAAATGTTGACTACAGGGGATGGGATTGAACCACGGATCCTCCAATTGGTGGTAGTCCATGTGCCACAGTTTCATACAGAGATACACATATCACTTTTAAACCCAGCTAATATGATAGAAAATTACTTGTTCTTCAACTGAATATTTATATTTTGTGCGCTTGATTTGCCTCCCCACTGCTCCCACCAGAAGTGTGATACAGAGAGGCTCCATTGAAAGTAACACTGCTGCCCTCTAGTGGTGATTTACTGTATTTACATCTTTTGAAAAATCACAACATCCCAAAACCTTACAGTTTAAGCCACTGTGGGCTCACTCTGCATTTAGATCAGTGGTTCTCGAACTTTTTCTGGCATTCCCCACTTTGAACAGGTGGGTCTTTTCAAGCCCCACCTGTTCCTCGCCGCTCCAATAAAATGGTAGGCCAAGCTTAAAATGGTCAAATGTATCGTTCTATATCAGGGGTCTCCAACCTTTTTTAGGATGAGAACTACTTTCAAAAAAATTAAACAAGTTTGAGCTACTTTTACTCCTCTTTTTCAGTTGTTTTGCAGTGTATATATTTAGCACATTTTAACATTATTATATGCTTACCTTTAACCTTTGTGTGCTGTTTGGGTCTGTGGGACCCGTTTTCAGTGAAAAGAAATGTATGATTTTTTTTTAAATGTTGAAGTTAAATGCATCAATCTGGTGCACTTTGAGCACAAAATGAATTTATGGATTTCATCTCCCAACACTCTATGAAAGGGAGCTGTATACTTTTCAATAATCCAAACATCTTTAGAATATGATCACAACCAATAACAAATCATTTAAACTTGTGTATTCTTATTTTATGTTACCTAGTTAGCATTCTTTCTTTTTATTTATGCATATTTTACTAATCACTCCCCTTTTAAACTGTTTACTGTCCGATAGTACACATTGGAATGATTTCTTACTTTATTTTGTACAACTAGGCTATATTAAATAGATAAAGGTGTGTTTTCTCTCTCTCTCTCTCTCTCTCTCTCTCTCTCTGTCTTTGTGTCTCGCTCGCTCACAGAGGCTGTGTGCTCCTCCGTGGCGATGATGGCTTGCGTTAAAAGATAATAATAAACATACAGGATTTCGAAAAGTGTCACGGTTAAACTCCTTATGAAGTGGTGAGGTGCCGCTCCACATTGCTTTTCTTCCTGACTGCAACGCTGTTGTGTCTGTGTGTGAGAGCGTTTCACATGTGTGTATGAGAGATTTTTTACATATGTCTGCAAATGACTTTGGTTTCAGTTGTGTGTGTGAGCAGGCTCGGGGATTGGCCATCAGGAGTTTCGGGACTTTTCCCGTTGGGCCGCTGCTGTTGGTGGGCCGCTGGCTCTGGCATAGGTGGGCCGTGGACTTTCATAGCGCCGCTGCGCCGGTACCGCATCCGCCGCCGCAAACACCCGCCGTTGCGAGGCTCTGGTGGCTCCGGCAGGTCCGGTGCAACGGTGCTATGAAAGTCCACCGCCGTTGCGAGTCTCCGGCTGTAAATCCACTACCGCCCACGAGGACCCAGGTTCGATTCCGGCCTGAGGTCCAAAACATTTTTTTTTTTAAAGAAAAAAAAATAATCTCCCGTTCATCGCGTCCATTCGCGACCCACCTATCACATTCTGGCGCCCCACACTTTGAGAAACGCTGGTTTAGATGATGCTTATTGTGGTTGATGAGGATATGCTGGTTTGTTCAAAAGGGATCTACTTTTTGAAGCCACTTGTGGTAGAAGACAAAGACAGAAAGATAAAGAAAATAAATGGAAAAAGTAGAAAAGAAGAAAATCACTCACCTTTGATTTGATGTTATGTTGGTGATCGGGATAAAAACCTGGTGGAGAGAGAAAAAGAGAAAGTAGATTTTAGTGGTGAGTACTTGCCAGGTTTCCACAACAGCTGCTCTTTCTCGATCACACACTGGATCATTTGTTCCAAAAGCTGGTGTTTCTGGCTGGTCACAGTCATTGTTTGTAGTAATGGAATGCACGTTTTCCACTCAGTGTGACTTGATCTATTCATTTAGCTGGAAAATAGATATTCTTTTCTAACTAATGAATTGCTGTTTATTTCTACAGTGCTTCCCTGGAAGTACTTGGCGAAAGGAAGGCTCTTATTGAGAAATGTGATTGGTTTCATTGGTTTACGTGGCGAATCCTTACACGGAACATTGATCTACACCACACTGGATAAAGATATAACTAAAATGTGATCCCTGAAATATCATTGGGACTAATGCCAACCAAAGTTCCAGAGTAATCCAAGTTGTCCCTTAACATGCAGGCAGACAACTTTGTTATTTTTCAAACTAGACAAAATGACTTAAGTCCTATAATATTCACTTAATCACTCCAAAATTAGAAGACTAGATACATAATCATATTAAGGTTAGATAAATGGCAGTGATTTAAAAACAAATATCTCCCTTTTTTTGTTTGTATCAATAATTTCATATACATTTTGTTGGATTCTGTTGCTCCTTTTACGCTTAATAATAATAATAATAGATTTAATTTGTTAGCGCTTTTACAGGTGCTCAAAGACGCTTTACAGATATAGTGAAGAGAAAAGAAAGGAACAACAAATACATATATAGTTAAAGTTAAAGTCAAATAATACAAAAACAATCACACATTAAAAGCCAGATTGAAGAGGTGAGTTTTTGTGAGTGCTTAGACGCACCAAAGTTCTCTCAGAGCCGTGGCTCAATGACTGTACTCGCGCTCTTAGACGCGCTTGCAGGCGTGCAGAGAGAAAATGGAAAAAGGATAAACTCCATGTCTCCTTATAAATTCTTCGTGCTTGCCTTTCCGACTACCAGACGGCAGTCAAAGCAGCCAAAACAGGGCACATTTCTCTGTTAATCTCCATAAACAGCCATAAACCTCTGGTTATTTTTAATGTCCTCGACTCGATCATTAATCCCTGTGATGTTTCTCCAATTGTGCCATTGACTACTCTCTGATAAGTTTCTTACATTTGTTATTGAAAAAGTATCTGCTCTTAGGCTAGCCCACACTAGTGCTACCCCAGAGCCTGCTCCTTCTCTGTGCCCTGCTGTCCTCGACCACTTTGAGCCTGTATCCCTCTCTTCTCTCGCGGATGGTGTCAAGCACCTGCGGCCGACAAACTGCACCTCAGACAGCATTCCCTCTCGCCTTCTCAGAGATGTTTTCGAATCAGTTGGAGCAAGTGTTTTATTACTTATAAATACCTCTCTTAGCTTAGGATGCGTCCCTGCTGCCTTTAAACATGCCGTGGTGCAGCCACTACTTAAAAAGAAAAATCTCGACCCTTCCCTTCTCGCAAATTTTAGGCCCATCTCCCAGCTACCTTTTGTATCTAAAGCCCTGGAGCGAGTAGTCTACGCCCAGCTGCAGTCTTTTTTAACCATGCATGGCATCCATGAAAAGTTTCAGTCTGGCTTCAAACCAATGCACAGCACTGAAACAGCCCTTTTAAGAGTTTGTAATGATCTGCTCCTAGCCACCGACTCAGGTAGCCCAGCTGTCCTGGTGCTGTTAGACCTGACAGCTGCCTTCGACACTGTGGACCATAGCATCCTGTTGTCAGGCTTGAACAGTCCGCAGGCATCACAGGCTCTGCCCTTGCATGGTTCAGGTCCTACCTGACAGACCGTAGCTTCTCAGTGCAGCTAGGTGTCTTCTCCTCTGCCAAAGCCCCTCTTACCTGTGGGGTTCCCCAAGGCTCGATTCTGGGCCCCATCCTTTTTCTACTGTACATACTGCCCCTGGGCTCAATTCTCACAAAACACAACATCCCCTTCCACTGCTACGCCGACGATGTACAGATCTATCTGCCTCTCAATTCAAATGTTAACTCATTACAGCTATTGATGGACTGCTTAGCAGTCCATCAATGAGAGCAAGACTGAGGTTATATTTTTTGGACCCTTACCTCCAGTCTCCCAGGTTGATATTCTGGGCTCCCTCAAAATAATATCCTCCCCTCTGTCACAAACATTGGAGTGACCTTCAATAGCGCTTTTAAATTTGATAAGCAGGTCAGCAGCGTAGTCAAAACCTGCTTTTTTTAAATACAACTATTGGCCAAGACCAAGTAGTTTTTATCTTTTAAAGACCTGGAAAGGGTTATTAACGTCTTTGTTACCTCGAGGTTGGACTATTGCAACACTCTGTACGTGGGTATGGACCAGGCGTCAATCAAACGCCTGAAGCTAGTGCTGCACGTCTACTCACTGGCCACAAAAAGCGGGACCCCAATTCTGGCCTCACTGCACTGGCTTCCAATTTGGTTCCGAATTGATTTTAAAATCCTTTTATTTGTTTTTAAAGCCCTAAATGGGCTGGCTCCGGCCTATATAGCTGAACTCCTCCAGCGCTACACCCCAGCCAGAGCTTTAAGGTCGGCTGATCAGCTGCTGCTGATAGTGCCCAAGACCAGGCTCAAAACCCGAGGGCACCGAGCCTCCGCAGCAGCTGGTCCTAGGCTCTGGAACACTCTGCCCCTCCATCTGTGGTCGGC